GTTTTTTTATATATAAGCACATAATGTGGTGAGGTATAAAACTCTCATTTAAGATACCAGAATGTTTAACCTGCCAGATACGTGTTTCGTCTACGTAAAACTCTTATGCAGTTCAGGTCAAAATACTTGAAAGGTCATTACATTTTTTCTAGTTTAACGCTCTCAAACAAACACATCCTCTTTGCCTATCTAGACGAAATGTGCTTTGTTTTTGAATCGTTCATAGTCTTACAAGTAACATGTTTAAAAATGAATTGCAGTAGATAATAAACAACAGCAAATACTTTGGAAATACCAAAAAATCGAAATGTTCTCGTTTCTACAGAAAGATTAAAAAAAAGTAAGCATTAGCTGAGTATTGTGTACTTACTCCTAAAACGGTTCACACAGTTTCTTAATAAAATTGAATTGAAATCAACATCGTGTGAGAGACAAGTATTTTTTATTAACAACTCACACCTGTAAAGTGTCCATTGTCTGTAGAAAATTTTAATTGAAGTGTAATTCTATCAAGATTGGAATTAAAATTCCATACTTGTAGCTTACACTTAATTGTCAAGAAAACAAAATGTATGTCAAATTATATTTAAGCTATCACAGCAAAGAGTAAAACCGTTGTTTAATTTTTATGAAATAAACACGAATGGATGCTAGATAATTATACACTAAAAAAAACATAGAACATCTAAAACGTAATTGATTGGTACATGCATAGTCTTTTTTCTTTTACATGAAATTAATAAAGTTTTATGTTCATACAAAATGTTACTTTATCAGATTGAAATTCTTCGAATTGATGATAATAGATAATGGGATTGCAAATATTATGAAACTCATCACAAAAAAACCTTTAAACTATTATGAAAAACACAGTCTATACAATCGCATTAAACTATTTAGTTCGTAAACAAAAATTACATGCTTCTATTTTGGGTTTTTAAACCCAACAATTAAAAGTTACCGTAGATAAGAATATTACTTATGACACTACATGTTAAAATAAATGAATAGTGTATTTCTATCATGCGCCCAGAACTTTCGTCTTTAATACGTGATCAAAATTACATGTTAAAACCCGGAACAATTTTCTCTGCATACTTCTTTTATAAAGATATATGAATGAGTCCGCACTTCAATTCTCCATAAGTAGTTGATAAATCTGGAATTCAAATGAAAACAAATCCCAAGATACATAGGTTACACACTTTATTTTTAAATTTTCCTTAAAAAACAAAAAAAAAGAAGTTTACAGAGTGTTTCCCCTTAAACCAAGTTTATCTTTTTTCTAATTTTAAAAATAATATTATCATTCAAAATGATTGAATTGAAAGCTTAGAACTAATCATCAGAATAAAATGTGACCCTTTTCAAAAATATGTAAATAAACAGGCAAATCCCTCAAAGGCAATTTTATTCTGAAACTAACCTCTAGTATTTTATATGAAATTGTTTATAGCATCCTTTCGAAAATCAAAGTTGCCGACAGGTTCATCATACCTAACACAATATTGTATTTGATGCATTAACATTTCTGCAACATATTTTAACTCCTTATCCGTGTTGAAATGAATTTTTTTTTATAAATTTATGAGTGCTAAATCCATTCTCCTTCTCGTTTATCGGATTGCGGCGTTACGCTATGTCATACATTATGATAAAATAAACACGCTTCTCTCCAAACTGCATTAAAGTCCAAGAGGGATATTGATGCCATAAAAAATCTTTAACCACGGACTGAACCTTAATGTTGATGACGAGGACATATAGGATCGTTATGTCTTGCTTTCGCGACATAACTATCGCAGGCTCGACAAAATCAGTTAAATAGGGCTTAACTCATCAGATCGATACGCAGCACAAAAAAAAAGCATATTTCCGGCACATGTTGATGAGAACAGACGTTAACTTTTCTGCAAAAAGAATCTTTCAACATCATCGAAATTGTTTTGCAAAATTGGCTGTAATAACAAATTTACTTATTTTTGCATCATATACTTTATATTTTGAATTATAATTTTGTTTTGTTTTTGTTTTTTTGTTTTTGTTTTTTGTTGAGGGAAATATCTGCAGATATTTTCAGGATTCCTTGAGAAATGTGCTCATTTGTTTCTAGTTTCCGTGTGGAAAACTATCAGACTAATATTTTTGATATCTGAGGGTTTTAGCTGTTCCTTTAATGGATCGGTAGTATCTTTCCTAGATTCTTTATTGTAGGATTTTCGGCTTACCAGGAATACAGCTTGGTATATAGCAGTATATGTTTGTATTACAATTTTGTTCCATTTGATATTGCCATTTGATTACGGACTTTCCGTTTTGAATTTTCCTCGGAGTTCGGTATTTTTATTTATCTAACTTTTTCCTACCGGTTTCTCTTTCATTGTCATGGCATTTGTGCGGTATCATGAGTGACGCAATTTGTTATTTTGTATCTAGTTTACCCTTTTTATATTTTGAAGATTAGCGAATCATGTTAGTGGAGGTATTCGTATATTTAATTGCATTGTATTTTTTTATGTTTTGGGATAGGTTAGGTTGCTGATAGTAAGAACCATCACAACTTGGCTGAGAAATTAGGTATGTTAATGCTCACAGTAATCTGTACCGATACAAATGTCCTTTACACCATAACTAATAGTGGTGCTCCTAATTAAAGGGGGCTTACGTAGCATACATATATCAACAACATTACTGATAATGTTAATTCCAGAATGACTTAAGTGTTTTAAGTGTTTCTCGTTTCTCGTTTTTTATATAGATTAGACCGTTGGTTTTCCCGTTTGAATGGTTTTACACTAGTATTTTTTGGGGCCCTTTATAGCTTGCTGTTCGGTATGAGCCAATGCTCTGTGTTGAAGGCCGTACCTTGACCTATAATGGTTTACTTTTATAATTTTTGACTTGGATAGAGAGTTGTCTCATTGGCACTCATACCACATCTTCTTATATCTATTGATAGAGGTTTTGCTCGTGCTAACGATTTTAACCAAGATGAACTTTTACAATTTAAGAGAAAAGGGTCAACACAAGAGTCCCGTTTGTGCTGACTTACCATCCTTATTTTGACATATGTTTATACCTCAACTAAGAATAATGGAATGAAATCAGAAAATATCATAAACTAAGAAAATCACCCGAGCCACGTATACTCGCTTTCCGTAGTCCCGACAAGCCTTAAAGTTTGGCTGGCGAGAGCTAATTTAACCTTCTTAATTAGGCTCTTCGTCTATGGGCTCATGCAATGGTTGTGAGAACAAAAGGTGTCAGACTTGCAACCAAATACTGAATACCCAGACTTTTAAAAGTCACTCGGCAAGTACAAAAAGTCTGAGTAGCAGATTGCAGCTGCTACTCAGACTTTGTAAAACGTCACCACTGTCTGAGCAGATAGTTGATTAACCAGGGGTATGTCAAAGAACGTCTCGTCCTTTTTCTAAAAAAGTTCATCGGTAAATACCAAGACCTTGTTGATAAATATTCCGTATCAACTTCACAAATAATACACGATAGTCTTGTAGTATAGATTCTAGGTACTGACGTTGTTTATCATCTTGATAACGTGTTATAGTATTCTCTTATTTGTGTTTGTAGATTATTTCTTTTACTGTTTAGTCTATTTTTGGTAATATCCATTTGACGTGGCTCGGTACTTATACATCCCCTCATTGTGTTATTGTGCTATGGTAAATTTTTGTATACTTGTCCTTCGTTTTTGCTAATGTGCTTTGTCTATATGCCTTTTTTTCTTTGTTGACAAATTTGTTTGTTTTTACAGTGATTAAGATTATAACACAATGTTGACTGCTGTATCCCTATTTTCGACATTTTTTCCTATTATGTCTGTTTGTTTAACTAGGTTTAGCTAGCTACAAAACCAGGTTTAATCCACCATTTTCTACATAAGAAAATGCCTGTTCCAAGTCAGGAAGGACTATGACAGTTGTTATCCATTAGTTTGATGTGTTTGATTAGGGACTATCCGTGTTGAATTTTCCGAGGAGTTCGTTTTTTTTTTTTGTTGTTCTACTTTTTGAAATGTTAATTGCAAGCTAGACTACAAATGCTGTGTATCGTCTATAGCTAAAATGTAATAAATAGAATGTTGGTGAGTCAGAAAAGTCATCGTTGTGACCATGAATGCAAGCCAGACCTTCCTCTCAGTCGACATTTGAGATCCCCTGACCACATTTTGGCAAGTCACAATCAACAGACTCTTTCCATCAGAGACCATAATATTTCTTGGTCTAGGGAGGAGAGAATCACTTGGGCAAAATTTAAGATAAGAAAATTCAAAACGATGGCGCTAAAAGGGATCAATTAAAATGTGTAGTTTAAATCGCGCAGTGTTATTCCTTTATTATTACGAAGTCTCTGTTGTTATTTATTTTACCTTTGTCAGCTTTGAAATTTTAGAATTATTCAGGTTCAAATCGCACAGTACTATTCATTTTGAATACATATCTATGCAGTCTCTGTTGTATTTCCGTTACCTTCGTCAACTTTGAAATTTAAGAACTATACCAGTTCAAATCGAACTGTGCTATTAATTTTGGATGTATGTCTACGCATTCTCTGTTGTAATAACTTAACTTAACCGACTACTAGACTTTTTGATTGCAATACGTGATTGAAAAGGGCATCGGAAGTATCACGAAATATGTTAGGTTTCATTGCATTACCAATACCCTTCCTTGTTTTTCCACTGGAAATTGTATATCAAATCAATCGCTGTTCTCTGTACTTTTTTTGTGATCGTTCTATGGTATAGTTGACTACTGACTGATTAAATTTGATTTTTCCTTTGTATGGCATTTATAAACTATATGTAGTTAAATTAGATTTATTCAATTATAAAATTTAGAAGTAGTTTTGTTAACATTTGATTTGCATTTAAAAAATTTAATTTCTTTTATTTAGATTCCAAGGAATTCATTTGTAAGTTGTTCCATATAAACTTGCACAATAGCATTTCTTAACACTTTTTTCTAAACATTTGAACATGTTGAACACTCAAATTAAGCTTGAAAACATGCAAAGTACTTTTGAAATCTGAAGAGGGAAATCTGTTAAGAAGTTTTTGTGCAAAGATTGTGTGTCATCGTTGCAATATTAGAATATATATGATGCAAAGTCAATACACCTGTGCATATGATACTTGTTTACTTCGAGACGACAGTTTTTGTCTAAACTATCAGTTCATTTCTTCTATATCATTCCTGAAAGGTTCGTATTTATGTTGTTGTAATATGTTTTTAAGGAAGATAATTACGTCATGTGTTATGATTGTTCATCTTTCAATTGCATTTTTATCTATAAATTCAATTTCATTCAACCTTCACTTCAATTTGTTTGTCATTCTAACCGCGGTAGTTATTTCATTTTCATTTTACTAAATAGTAAGAAATTTGAATTTTTAAATGAGCATTATTTCATATAAAAATAACGTAAAACATCGAATTTTAAATTTTTGACTCTCTGACAAATAAATGTAACATACATGTACACTGCATAGTAAATTCACTAAAGAGACAACTTCATATTAATATGAAGGGAATTCACACGAAAACTATGCAAGGAATGAATATAAAAGTAATATATATCAGTGTCAATTCCATAGAACTGTTTCATGAGGAAAACAGCAAATTACAGTTAAACACATGTATAAACTTCAAATTTCAAAAAAAATTAATTTGGTTCTCCCTAGGTTATTTGTTTACTATATAATAGATTTATAATATGAATGTATTTTAAGTGTCGTGCGATAAAATTTAGGAATACAGTCTTATTTTCAAATCGTGTATGGAAATACTGGAAGCTCACATACATGTTAATGTCAGATACCTAGCAAGACTGGATATACCATCAGTGAATTTTTTGCCTTGGATCATCTCAAATGTGAAGGGTATTGCATATTTTGTATTAGCTAAATGTTCGTCATACATAATTACTATACCATATCATTATCTTTATATTAAGGACACTGTTCGTGAATCTGATGAAATATGACTTCGAATTAAGTTTTTTTTATGAAACTATGGCAATTCTGATGAATAGTTTTTTCTGGAATTTTAGATGACGAAAAACATTTCATTTAAAACCCTGTCTAAAAAGCTACAATTACAGTTACATAATAGAACCTTTCGTTACTACTGAAGTAATATTAATGCAGAATTTTCAAAGTATATAATTCCGAATATATCAAGAATTATACCATTATAAAAAAAAATTATTCTGAACCGAATCATAAATTGTAAATTTAGAATTGCCTTTTATTTAGATTTGGAATTTACTATTTTTGCTAAAACAAAAGCCCATCCCTTATATAAAAACAACAGGAAATCGTAAACGCAACAATATAATGTAAAAGTTCTAGAGGGAATACTGTATTACACAACTAACATGATTGTATCCAAAATAGAAAAAAACTAATGAGAGACATGCATTGTACAAGTACATTATGTAAGATATAGTGGGTTGTAATCGTTATCAATCAGTCAAAAGATTTTGTTCATTGAAAAATTTCGCACATGAGGTAGAGGTGTCATGTTGAGGCTATTGGGATACATGTCATAGCTTGCTTTCTTAGTAATTGCCTTAACTTATATTTAAGAAGAAAAATCCTCTGTATTGAACATGTTAAAAAAACAAATATCCTACCAAGAAAATTATATTAAGTGAAATATGTTTAACTCCGCCACATTTTTTATGTGCCTGCCCAAGTTAAGAGCCAGTGGTTGTCATGGGTTGTTGTCTCGATATTTGTTTATAATTAATTTACCTGTCCGAATTCCAAGCCGTTTATTTTCTGGTTTGAATCGTTTTACATTTTGTCATGTATAGCCCTTTTTATAGCAGCCTATATGGATTTGGTCATTGTTGAAGGCTGTTTTGTACAGTCACTTACAGTTACGTGCATCCAAGTCGTTGGGACTCTGCTGGAAGGATGTCTCACTGCAATTGGCAACTTTGAAGACAAAAATATTATGATCAGGGAAAAGGGAAACAAAATCTGTTAGAGAGTATTTGCTTCAAAAATATTTAAGAAAGAATTTCTACATGACAAAAAAATAGTTTGATATTTGCATGCACTAGTAAACCCGATTTTGATCTGAACAGCTTATATAAGATTGAACTATTTATTACGTCGTTTTCAGTTTTCAATCACTTGTGTCCACTTATTCACTACGGTAAATGCAGTAATGTTCAGACATTTCGCTTGCAGTTAATTAAGATATGTTCAGTCTATATTCAGACTGTTCACTGATATTTACATGTACGCATCAACATGCATAATACTAAATTGTCTGATATGCTACTGAACCGTACTGAATTTACAGACTAAAGTTCATTTATTAGTAGTGGTTCGAAATAAATTTTCAAAATGAATAAAAAACACTTCCCCAAATTCAAATGGTCCCTTGTATATTTGTGTTGTTTATTAGTATCATTAAACATGATTTACAGATTGGTGTTTGTTTAACTGTCCAGTGGCGAATATTTCATGCATGCTAAGGAAGAGAAAGCTTAACAAATAAAACATGTAGATTCTGCTAGGTAGGACAATCAGAATTAAGGGGGAAGGGTTTGGCAGAATTTGGACTACCACTGGAAATAAGGGAATGTTTGATAGTGGCAGAAATTTAGCCTTGTAACTAGAAACCCTACAGAATTTCAAAGAGTTGTTTCTTTAACAGACAGAGAGTGTGACACTCTCTTTCCACGAAGCATCATATGCAATGTATGCATTCACTAAAAGAAAAAGTATAACTTAAAAAAGGACAAATGAACCCAGGGTTAACAGATTATGTGTGCGACCGGTTGTAGGGCACAAATGTTATGTTTGGCGACAAACACCATTCCATGGTTATAGGTTATGTGTAGTTTTCTACCTTATGTATCAAATTGAGTAAAATTAAATCTGGAAGGAAATGGGATCATTTGTTCGATTCAGAAATAGTTTGCAAAGTAGGTTTTGATTTTGATGGAAGGTCCTACGAGGGATGAAGTTATATGAATTTGTCAGTTTGATGTCAGAACTGTGAAATTCTGTGCTGTTAGGCTATATGTTGAAAAAGGTGGATATACTTCAAAGGATAATTGTTAGGCGGATACCCAGTTGAAATTAAACAAAAGAAATGGAACACTTTGTTAGAGAAGGTAAAAACGCCGAGTTGGTATATTTGAATTGTTTCCTCTGTTTCTATGGGCTTTAAAAGTTTAATTAAGGTGCATAATCTAGGATAGTATACCTCTTATGTATGTTTTTTTATTAAAATTATAGTATGAACCTTTGAGATATTTGTAAACGTTTAAATTTTAGAAATTTAAAAAAAAAAGTCGATTGAGTTGACTATTGTCGACTATTCTGTCTTGAAAATATTTAAAGCAAAAATATTTGATACATCATCTCGCTTCAGATTCTATTAATTTTATATTTTTAGGCTACAGGTTGATGTTATAACATCAAAATTCACAGTACTAAAAAATGAAATATATGGGTCAAGTGAAATACATTTCTAATGAGTCATAGCAACAGATAAGGTGTGTTCGAATAACAAATTTTGACTAAAAGTACTTGACAACAGACTTTTCAAGTGGATCTTAAAAATGCATAACTTCACAAAAATTTTCATTGTGTGTGTGTGTGTGTGTGTGTGTGTGTGTGTGTGTGTGTGTGTGTGTGTGTGTGTGTGTGTGTGTGTGTGTGTGTGTGTGTGTGTGTGTGTGTGTGTGTGTGTGTGTGTGTGTGTGTGTGTGTGTGTGTGTGTGTGTGTGTGTGTGTGTGTGTGTGTGTTATACAGGGTTATCAGTCTTCAACCTCTGAAAAATTTTAGTCTGCCCTTCCACGAAATATTTATTCAGAAATTTTTTTAATGTTTTTGAACTTTCAAAAAATCAACCTGACAACCGATCAGACAATAGTTTAAGGTTGACTAAAAGCAGGAAAGTACTTTAAATGATGTTCAATGGCTAGAAGATACATTTGTCATTTAAAATATTACTGACATATAAGGATCGTAATGGTGTTATAAGAATAAATTTATCGGTTTTCAAGAGCTAAATTGGCAGCACGTCATCCACAATGGCTTTCATTTTTAGATTGTAAAAACTAGCTGGTGTAATGCGGAGATAATTTTGACGAAGTACAATACTGACTGTTGTGGAAATTATTGCACACAAATTTAACTAAGGTTTTAGTCACTCTTACTATGGAGTAAATTGTCAATGAAGTGTCGTACATTAAAATTTAGATTGAGCACTCACATGCATGTTTCATTTATGACAACGACGGTTACATAATCCCGTATGCTTGCAAGAGAGGTAAGTTTTGACACTAGATTTCTATGGTCTCAAATCGGTCGATAACCAACAGACTGTCAACATTGCAGTCGTAGTATAGAAATATGTTTTTATAGATTTTACCACGGATTGACCCTTTATGCTCATATTTTACCCCTCGCTGACGAAATATTTAGCATAAAGGGCCAACCCGTGGTAATATCATAATAAATTCAAGCCCGATGAATTATTTCTTATTTGAAAAATAATTTATTCAAAAATCTTCATATTATTGATTCACTCCGCCATCAAAGATTTATACAAGCGGATAAGGAGCGTATATTTTCAGACAACACAATGGTCAAACCCAATTCGATATATATTTGCGTCTAGGTAAAATAATTATTTGTGACGTCAAAGAATTTTACAAAATTTTACAGTTCAAAGATTTTTGCATTCAAGCTTAAGAGAGTATATAAAATTCAATAATATGCATATAAAGGCGTGAAAATGTTTCCTTGAAAGAAGAAATAAGACTATAGTATTATATTTTGATTTTGATCATCAATCAAGATCAAAATATGATTTGAATATATGTTATTTTAATTTTTTTTTCAATTTTTGTGATAATAACCTTTGGCAGACGTAATATAAGTTATCTCAATCTTAAGTTCTCAATCATCGAAGATGACACAACTCGTTTTTAAATTAAATATTTTTTTTAATATGAACAAGACGATTGACATTAACGTGAATCGTGCATGTGTATTAAAAGATTTGAATGTAATTAATGAAGAACGATTTGATTTCTTGAATATGATATAAAGATCTGACATGACATTTTATAGACTGATAACAATAATAATAATACAAGCGTTAAACAAATATTCACAGACTAATATGTGTAACATGATTCGGGTATGACAATGGCACCAGTGCAATCG